TAAGACTTCAACTTGCAGGCAATGATGTTTCCATATCGATTTTTGTTCTTGTTGTCGGGTACTTTGGCAACGTCCCAGGAGTATTGTTGACCTGGACTGAGCATCTATGGTTAAAAGAGAAAAAAATGCTTCAATATAGTGTTAGTAGTATATGGAGACTGGTTTGTGCCTGTTAAGTGGGCCGTACCTTGTACTGTTTTGTAAATCCAGCGTTTTTATCTCTTTTTAAACTGGTTACATATTCGGAGAATCGGCTTATAGGAACTGGTTTGGGTTTTTCGTCAATCTCGTCTGGCACAGCGTTACCATATATTGGATCGCTGGTAGCTAGAGGCTCTTCAACTGAAAATTAAAAAAATACAAGTGAAATGTTGCGACACAAAGATTTGCCGATAAGAATAAGTTGATTGTTCAAGTATGGATGAAGTACTGGACAATACTTTCTTCAGTTCATAATGCTGTAGAAGGTGATTTTTTTGGAGACATCACTGTATAGCAACATTGTTTTTGTTCTTCAAATTCGTAACGGGACCGTAGGCTAGCGGAAGTAAACAATTAGGAGTGAGGACTGGAATCCACTAAGACGGAAGTAAATATTCAGGAGTATGGACTGGGATTTAGTTCACCAAACCCTCTCGTGTCAACAAAGGCTGGTATAGATGGTTTTCACAGTGACGTCATCAAATTGTAAACTCAAAATAGCGAGGTTTTACGAATTCTTATTTACACTAGGTTGAAGATAAACCAAAAATAAATCTTTGTACAAGTTTCCAGTCCCGTAGCATGTTTCATTTCGAAAATACAGCAATTTGAACTTCCGAGTTTTTACATTGCGTGACACCAAAATCGGAATGCTGTCTCGTTGAAAAAAGTCTGTCCTCTTGATTTTCAGCAGTATAACCATTTCAAGTATTAGAAGATGTGTTTATGTGCATGTATGCTAGTTCTCGAGTGAAAACAAAGAGCTTTTATAGAAAAAGTGAACTCCAGATGTTTTTTTTTAATTTCCGGCAGCCATATTGGTGCACCAAAACTGTGCACCAATATGGCGTCTCCATACAAAGCTCCACAAAGGAGCGTGAAACGTTTCGGTAAATAACTCGGTAAATAAATTGTTTATATATTAGTCTTTTATGACATTCATTTTCTTGGCTTCTTCTACTGAACGGTTTCCAATTTATTTTTTTGTTGCGTGACAGTGAAAACGATCTATAGTGCAGACACAGCTTTTGACTCGCAAGCAATAATGTTCAGCGCCTGTTGTGATGCCAGACGAACCTAACTCCTCAGCTGCTGGGGGACTCTCTTCCATTGTTTCAGCATCAACAACTGTATCAAAAGCACCATTCACTGCAGTCATCGCATGTGTTTCACTCTTTGAGTCCTGGTCCCTTAATCGGCGGCGCCTATTGAAAACAATACGCACGAAAGAATCAGAAAACAAGAGGCGTATACTACGCGTGTATTGGGCTGTAGTGGTCTAATATTTTCTACGCTGAGTTAATAGCTCCTCCTATACCAAGTATAAACTATAAAAAAAACACTCGTTTTGCCTTCTAATGAATGCAACGGTAAAAAAGCAGGGACCTTCCCCCCCCACAAAAAAAGATATCGGCCCCACTACAAGGGGAATAGGACAAGCAACGCCTTCGAGGAGATCTGTCCGCCATTTTGTCTTTTTTCGACATAGACGCGACTCGTGCTGATAGGGCCACAGACAGCCCAATAAAAAAGGCTAAGCGCTGCGTTAACTGCAGACACTAAAAGGCAGCGATGACTTGCGAAATGAATCCGACAGAAATAAGAAGTGGCCATTTGAGACTGTGCGTGAGCCGGGATCTGAGTTCTGTGGAATTGCACTATGGGACTGTTTGCTGGTTTTAACTTGGTTATTGGAGAGGTTAAGCATCACCTTTACGTCAAACGGCAAACGCGCATTTGTACCACGTGATCAACTTTCCTCTTGACTTGTCGTTTACGGTTCGTTATTACTACACATAATTTAGTAGTTTCACGCAATTTTTTATCAATAAGAATTGTTTTGAGCTTTTTTTATCTGCCTATTTTCTATTCTGAGAAATTCTTAACTTGAATCTGACGTTTGCCGTTTGCCGTATACGTGAAGCTTAAACTCTCTATTAACCCTTTAAGCCCCAATATCCACATGCAAATTCTCCAAACTGATCTCCATACATTTCCTTCACGAATAAGTTGAGAGAATTTGATAAAAGATCAAGGCATTTTCCCTTTAGGTGATCATTTTATTAATTCTCGTAACCTAATCTCTTGACATTGTATGGATATCGTTAGGAGAAAATTGACGTTAAACACTATTGGAACTTGAAGGGTTAAAAGGTTCTCCAGGAAACTGTGTCATAGTTTGTTCCCCAAAACAGTCCCATGTGCAACCTCCAAATAGCCAATACAGCTCGTACTGAACTTTTCCACGAATGTAACAGCACTCTGAAGTCAGAACAGAAAAGGATCACATCTTTGGCATTTGATGTTTCGTTTAAACGTGATGGTTAACCTCTCTATCTTAACCTATCTTAACTGAGTTTGTAGAATGAGGGAAGAACAAACATTTCACGACGCTACCACTGGTTTCCTCGCCAAATGACGTCTGTTGAACGAGCGCAAAAATTCCATCGATAACGATGACGTGTCACGGTTCAGATCTGGGTAGTGTTTGTTTCAGCCAATCAGAAGCAGCACTGCCCAGTATCAGAAATGCAATTTCCGCGCTCGTTCCTCAGAAATCATTTTGCGGGCAGTACAGTGGTGGTGTCGCGAAATGTCCTCCATTTTCTAAATGACTGAATTTGCTGCCCGGTAAACGTCAAACAAAAAATATGAAACTTTACCTTTTCCAAAATATTACAGCAGCAATTACAGCAACAAGCAATAAAACAGCAATCACTGGACCAACCACAGCACCAACAGGTGTTGATGGTCCATCTCTAACAGGCTCAGTTGGCGACTGAGATGGCACTACAACAGAAAGAAATCAAATCAGAAAGGAAACAAATGTTAAAGATAACATTCTAAAATTCTGCAATGAAAACTTTAGCCCTTTAGAAATTATAGCAAACACGCCAATAAGAAAAAAAGGTTTACCTTCCTCTATTTGAACTCGTGCAATCAGAGTTGCTTGACCAATCAGATCGTTTTGATCCACAGAACGTTTCTGAAAAGAACCCATCAAGAGGGCAAAGAACCCATCAAGAGAAGGAAATTAACACAAAACGCGCACAACACAAACTAAGGCACTCTTCTTTTTTTTCAACAACGAAAAAATATGATATTACGTCTTACATGAAATGTTAACAGAGAAAACTCCCTTTGATTGTTTCAGTTTACAAACTTGCAATCTAAATGAATGGCAAATAGGTAACAAGAATAAAAAGATACAATTTCGCGTAGTTGAAGTATTTGTTTTGTAGAATTAAAAAATTCGCCACTTTCGCTTTTTCCATAATTCAACTTACTCGGTTGCCAACCAAAATTTTGCACAAGCACTGTCTTCAATTTCTCTTGGACTTTAATCCACAGGAGAAATTAAAAACGGCTTTGGTTAACAAACACTATATTATCATAGCCAGTGGTCGGCTCGCTTCGTTCGCTGTTTTTTCTTTAAATGTCTTTCGTTTCCCCACAGTGGAGCTTGGTCCCAGGTTAGTATTATGGGAAATGAGCGAGTGGCGAACGATATTTTTACCACTTTCTTGAGTTTTGCATTTAGGTTCTAATGAAATTGAGAAGGTTAACCAAATTTTAGTTCCAGATGTGGCCTTAAAAAAAGCCTGTTATGACAAAGACTAATATCAACCACTACTGTTAGTCGGGCTACCTTGGTTGCGCGGCGAGCCAATCCTC